TTTCCATACCTGTAGTATCTTGGGACGGACTTGAGACCCATTTCTTGGAATGGACATGTTTTAACGCAAGTTATATTACTGCAGACTTTTAACTCAAATTATAAGAATGAAAACGCCTAAAGGCAATAATTTCTTCAAATATTAAACTAATATAGTTTTGTTATAATATATAACATTATATTTTACCAAAAAGATAAAATAAATATAATAAACAACTAAATTGATTATAATTAATATATTTGAAATGTTTTACATAGAGTGAAAAGGAAATAATTATTATATTAAAAAAAATTTTAATGATGAAAAAAGCAAAAAAGAGCCACTCATTAAGTTCCGAGAAAATTAAGTTACTTGCTTAGGAACACAACAATTTAAGTTTATAGTAACATTTAAACCATGATTCCCATTAATTTGAAGAATTTTTTACCTAAAATCTTTTAAAGTTGCCTAGGAATCAATTAGTAGAAATAAATATTGGGAGAAAATGAAAATCTTAAACTTTCTAATTTATGAAATTTCGGTGATATCTTTATGTAATAAAAAAATATTAATAATCTTTTCGATTTTACTTTAAACTTTTTAAATATAAAGGAAATACAATTAAGCATTTTCAAACTCGTAGTACTGAACTGAATGAATTAATTTATCAAATTAAATTTAACTTTATTTTAGAAATAAAAACATAAGACAGTACACTTCCAAGATCTTTCCGGACAGAGATTTCCTATTGTATATTATGGAACATCTGTTTTTTACTTTAAAATATAGAAAAAAAACTAAAAATGTTTTTTTCAGAATATTTAACTTTACTTAATTAAGAACCTTTATATTAACAGTTTTTTTTATTTATTTTTTTTAGATATAATTATCCAACAAATAAGTAAATTTTATATTTTTCTTACATAATTATAATCTAACATAATCAGACATATTTTAATGTGATTTTGAACAGATTTTGAAGCATTTATTTATTCTACTTTAACACCTAAATTAAATAAAAGGTTTTGAGAAAAGTAGAATCATTCTAAATATAATCCTTTCGCTTTGTAGAAATTTTTGATTTTAATCTTTTTTGCAAAAATTATAATTTTTTGGTTATTACCTTTTGGGGAAGAGTTTTTATTTTTATTCTATATTTTATGCAGTTGAAAAATACAATTTTTTTAAAAAATGTGTTTTTTTCACTTTCTTATCTTCCTACTAAATTTGTATTTTTATTCTTTTTTGATCCTAATGATAGAAAAGATAACATAAAATCGCAATATTTTATTTTTCCATTTGTAATCCTTATTCATTCTAATTTAATTAATACTTTTCTTAATAAGAATAATTTTCATAAACTATCTCTCCGAAATGTAATATTAATCGTCGAGAACCCAGATGAGATATAAGACCAGTCCCAAAATAATTTATACATATAATTACGCAAAATTCTTAAGATATCGATGTAAAATTTTCAATAACAATTTGTACGAAAGGAATTTTTTTTGTTTCACGCAATATTGTGAGTTAACCCTTTAATGCACGACAGAACTATAAACGGTATATTTTTTTTTAAAAAAAAATTATTTAATTTTAATTAGCCCTTAATAAACTAAAAAATAAAATAATTTTAAACCGTAAAAAAATTTTTTTAGTGTGAATAATTAATTGCACAATACATGTAAAAAGTATTATATTTTTTAAAATTCAAACTTATTGCAAAAGAAATAAAATTTTATTATTGGATAAATAATATAATAAAACATATTTCATGAAATTATTGAAAACAATCATTTTTAGAATTAAAACTAATGAAACACACCATGATTCAAATCATTTTAGTAACCAATTTGAATTCAGGGTTCTTGTACCGCGATCTTGTAATATATTATGTCCAATGAGCTATTAAAATATGTAGTTCTTTTTGCGGAAAAAGACATGTATGTTCCTTATAACATTTTTCTCTATATTTGTCAACAATCGATACTCATATTATAAGGCTAGAGTTCATATAGAATCAACATAAGATAATCCCAAAGGAAGAATTTCTTCATCTGATAAACCACTAAGTTTAAAATCAGAACTATTTTCTAAAATACAATAAATTTTTACTTTAGATAGCAAATAAAGAACATTTAATAATATAAAAAATATAATAAAGAAAACCACATTCATTTTGCATTTATAAGCATTATGCTTTAAGGTACACGTACCATAATACATAAATGTAAAACACTATTAAAGAGCATAAAAATATATTTATATATAAAACATTTCTTTTACCTTATTTCATTAGGGTTTTCAACTTCCTGTTCCTTAAAAATTTCTTAAAGAGAAATGATATAATTTAATAAATGGATTTTTACAATTTTTATCTTGATAGCTCTCTTTTATTTATGACAAATGTAACCAGATCTAAACCGAACCTAAACTCTAAAAAAAATTCTATCCGAACCTGAACCGAACCGCTAAAATGCCTCTGAAACAGTTCGAGCCCCATGATTTTATGCCTATAAAATAATGTGTAAGTTATTACTAGTATATTGCAAAATATTCAAAATGTTTTAAAGATTATAATCAATGACATTTTATTGATAAGTGACAATCATAATTTTTATAAACTTTAGTATATTGCCTTTTTACAACATTATTTAAATATTTTAAGCTTATAAATTATAATGCCTATTTCAATATATAAAATATTTACATATAAATAAATGACATATCAAAATTTAATATCACTGATTATCAAATAATATGAAAGGCCATCATGGAGCAAATTTTGAGTTTAACATAAAAAGAAACCATCTTCTAGAACTCGATAAAATTGATAAAATATCACAACAAAAGATTATTAAAATAAAAAGGCTTAAGATATTATTAAGCCAACAGACAATAGAAGAAGCATTAAAAGAAACAATATCAGTAAAGCATATTAAAAAATAATAATCGATGCTTGTTTTGAGTTGGTCATCTTTAATAGCAGACCATTCAAGTATCATATAGTCAGTGGCGTAGCCAGGATTTATCCATGAGGGGGTTTAAAATTTTTTTTGAGGGCGAAGCCCCCAAACTCTACTTTTAAATATTGGCAATATTATGTGCTTTATTAGTGTCTAATCACTATAGTAACAAGCATGAATAAATAAAATATTAGTAACAATTTTGGCTAAATTTATGATTAAAAAGCGACTGAACACTGAAAACATTATTCAAAAATTTAATCTATGTTTAGTCAATTGTAAATTAATCCATATAGTTTAGAAAGAAAAAAATTTGCACCCCGAACCTTACATTTTTTAAGATCACTCAATATACCTGATTGAGTGTTTAATTCTTTTTTAAATTTTAGATATAGATTTTATTTATTATTAAAATACTTTAGTATAAATAAAATCTCTTTATTTAACTATGCATTTATTTTAATGATAATATACAATAAAATAAATTTCAAAATGTAGAAATTTTTATGTAGATTATTATATTAAAAATTTATTGTAAATAACTATATTTAAAAAATATATAATTCAATAAAATATAAGTAATTCTTATACTGTATTTTAAAAAATATAATTTAACAATTATAATTAATACAAAATAATCTATAATATTTCTTATTGCAAAAGCAATACTTTTATTAAAAATTCATAAATATTATGACTAAGAATTCATTATAATTAAGTTTTGCATATAAAAATTTTAAAACTAAGAAAATATGATAATCATAGATTTGAATTTATAAAGAGAGGTCTACTTTTTTCTGAGATTTGGCTAATTCATCTAGAATCAAATTTTTATCTAGAATAATCTCCTTATAAATATTTAAAAGGGCTAATCCATTTAAACGGTTTTCACCGGTGCTATTTCTTAAATAGGTTTTTAACCTTTTTAAAGTTGAAAAAGACCTTTCATTGGTGCAGGTACTAATCGGTAAAGTAGCTAAAATAAAAAGTAATGTTTTGATATTTGGCAGGGAATCTAAAGTGCAATTACACATGGAAAAAGCCTGCAAAGCATTTTTAGGTCTCAAAGAGTACTCTATTCTGTCGAGATTTTTATACCAAAATTCGACATCACAAAGTAACTTATCATACGATCCTGATAAATCATCAGAATAAAACTCTGAGATTTTCTTAATATCTTCTCGCGTTTCATGTGTAATCAACAATTCAGACTCAACCGGTAGAAAAAAATAAAAACTTTTTAAAATAAAATTATGACTAATAAATCTTTCTTTTAATTGAAATAAAAATGTGTCATTAAGGGGAATAAAAACATTAATTTTATAAAAATCCTCAATCAAAGAGGCATCAATATTTAAGCGATTTGACTGCCTAGAAACTACTCTAGGTTTAAAAGTTTCAATCCCAAACAAATTAGCGATCTCCTTTACTATCTTGTAAATATCATGAAATTTTTCATCCATATTTTCTCTGATATTTGTTAAAATTTCAACAATATCCTTTGCCCTATTCATAACCTCTTTTAAATCCAAATTAATTTTTTAAGTATTTTACTAAAATCATAAGTATAATTAAATAAAAAATATACACATTGAATTGATATTAAAAATTGTGGCTTCGTAATCTCCTGTAAAAAAATTTTCAGCATCTGAGGAATCCTTTTCTTTGCTGGATACGTAGGATTCGAGTGCTGTAAAAATAACTTCATATAATTCTGAAGAGTCTCACTGATTGTTGTCTTTCGATAAACCTAGTTGGGCAAAATCGTTTTAGTTTTTTTTTGGATAATTTGAATCAATATCATCAAATGTTCGGATAAATAACTGTCTCTTTTTGGGTGGTGTGAAAAAGTCACAAACCGACGATATTGTTTCTAAATTTTGAAAAATATATTAAATTATAAAAAGATATCTATAATACATAATAAAATCTAATAAATTCCAATTAAATTGAAAAAATTTTACGTAAACTGTTCCGGATGTCTCCACATGCCTCGGATATCATCAAATTTAGGCAATGTGAGCTGCAGTGAACATATAAAGCGGTGCTATAAAGCTATCTAATTCTTGACTGCACTCCCTTAACATGACCACTCATTGAGGGAGCTCCATCATATCCCTGGCCTCTCATTGGATTTAAATCTAGATCTTGAAGGGATGCTAAAATTTCTTTGGCTATCGTCTCTGATTTAGTGTCATGTAAATCAATAAATTGAACAAAGAGTTCCTTCATTTTATAATGACCTGATTCCATATCAATAAACTTTATTGCTATGGATAATTGCTCTATGTTACCAATATCCGATGTCTCATCCGCCAGAACACTAAAAAATAGTGATGCTTTCACTTTTGTAGAAATTTCTTTCAATATAAACTTATTGCATATGGATATAATTTCATTTTGAATGCATGAACTAAGGTAGGTGGCATTTTTAGCCGAGTTTTCAAAAAGCTTTATATAATTATCATTATTGTTGCATAAAAGTTTCAGCAATTCCTTAAAATTCCCTTCATTATGAGAAGATGAAAGTTTTAAGGGGCCAGCTGATACTCTATGAGATCTTAATGCTAAGCCCTGCCTCCCTAGCCAAATGATTGCATCAATTATATAATTATTCAATTTTTTATTGAATACATTAGATATTGATATCTTTTGATTCATAGAGATGGCTTTTAAAGCATCAGATATCTCACAAGAATTGAGATGATATTTATTTTGTTGATGATAATTAAAATTTTCAAGAGCATCTTTCCATCTTGTATATACTTGACTTACCAATGTTTTGAGTTTTTGTGACCCGGGTCCAGCATATCTTGGTGAAAAAATGACGCACACTTTACAAAAAGCTCCCTTTTCATTAGCTGAATAAGCAAGCCACTTATATTTGTTAAGCCACGATGTTTGAAATGTTAAATTTCTTTTATCCAAAGACAATGGAAATTCATAGCATTTGTCAGGTGCCCAAATATTTTCCACAGCCAACAATTTTTCATTATCATTTTTAAACTGAAATTTTAAGTATAATGAAATATCTTTTTGATGAGGACATTGATTTTCTATATTTTTTTTTAATTTTAAAATATATATTTCAATGTGAATTGTAGAGTTCAGACCTGAGCAGCACAACAAGAAAAGAATATAGTTTATTAAAAATATATCTTAAATAAAGATTCAAGTTATCTATTACAAATTTAAAAGACAGGGTAAGACATAGAAGGAAATTATTTGTTTTTATCTAAGATACAAGTTTTCACAATACTGCCCAACTCTGCTTGTGAATGTTGTAATATCTAAAGATTATTTGGGAATTTACAATAATCAATGATGAGCTTTTCATATAAAAATGGTTATAACTAAATAAAGCACATTGCAAAATTTTAATAACTCAAATGAAAAAATAATTTACAAATAAAAAAATAGAACTCAATTATATTATAAAATAACTCATTTGTTTTCCCTGAGTATGTTGGTTGTATTTCTAATTGCAAGATTTAAATAAACGATATTATAAAAGTGAATACCATTACCATCGTCATTTGAGGATTTTGTTATTTCTAAATCAAATTACATAAATTTTCTAAATCAATTTAAATATACCTTTAATTAGTAAAAATTTTCTTATATCCTTGTGGGAATTAAATAAAAATTTTAAAAACTATCTAAATTTAGTTTAACAATTTAAATTTTATTATTAAATTTAAAATATCTAATTAAACAATAAAAATATATTTATAATATATATTTAATTGTTATTTAATATTATATTAGTTCATAAAAATATATTTCATTTTAATATTGTATATATTATTTATTTTATTTCTAAATTGAAACAGTTTTTTAAATAAAATAAAAAAAAATTTTAAAAAAAATTTAAAAAAAAATTTTTTTTTTTGAGGGGTGATAGGAGGGTTTTAACCCCCCCCCCCCCCCTTGTCTACGCCATTGGATATAGTGAACTTTATTTTACAGCTTTGGAATGGAAAGCAATTTTTTATATAGATTTTATATAAATAGTTTACATGACATTTTTAATATATATTTTTTTTAAATTACGTATATATGTTTTACTTTTAACGTTCAGTTCAATGTATTAAATATTTACTTTTATATTAAAATACATATAAAATAAAATTTTAATGGTCAAAAAAAAAATTATAGGGTTGATAAATATCCTAAAACCATTTAAAGTAGCTACCTAGAACTTACAACTTGGGCAGTTAATTTTAGGATATTTTTATGGCATATCGCTAAAAGCTAAATTAGAAATTTCTATTTTTACTTCACCCTTTGCTGGTTCAATAATAGATCCTATGAACCGAAAAACAACTTTTAAACAAAAATACTTTTTTGTCATGCCTATATCTAGATTTACGGTGGGTTTTTAAAATATTATATTATATCTTATATAAATTTAACTATTAATTTGATTTACTTTATAATATTTTTTTTTACTTTATATATTTTCTTATCTATTAATAAAAAATAATTTCTTAATGATATTTTTATTTTATAAATATTAAGATAAAAGAAAAGAAAAGACTAAGGCTAGAGAGCATATTATTAAAATAAAGTGGAGTAGTGAAGGTAAATTAATGCCGATTATTATATCTTCATAAGAGAATTTGAAAGTCTTCAAAAAAATGGAAATAAAATCTATTATAAAAATAGAAGAATATTACAAACATTTTAATTAATTTATCTAAAGAACCATAAATAAAAATAATATTAGCCTATTGGAGAATTTAAAGTAATTGATACCCAGAATTAATTATCTGATATCATAATGGCAGTGCCGGCTCCCCAAGTTAATGTGGAAAGATATTTTTCAACAATTAAATATATACTATCTCCTAATATGCAATATGAGTAGACAAATCTTGAAAATATGTTAATGGCTAAATAAAAAAATTTAAAATTAAATATTTTTCATAAAAAAACTGATCATTTATATTTATTTGTTATATTTATAAATCAAATCTTACTATGTGCAATTAATAAAAATGAAATTTATGCGTGTTTTCCATTTTAATGATGAAATAAAAAAATTATTATTCCTTATACATAATTCGAATGTAGGTTTGAATACAAAAGTGTTCAAACCAGTTTTTAGAGGTTTGAACCGAACCGATATTTTTATTTTTTACCGAACCTGAACCTAAACCGAACCGTTATTTGCTTCGGTTTGGATCCCTGAAAGTAACTATAAAAAGAATTAAAATGTTTGTGCATCTAAATGCAACATGCGTTTTGAGCTGTAAAAATTTTTCTATTAAAATTTATACCCTCTTTAATGGTAGGAGTATTAAAATATGATATGCCCAATAGAGGGTTACAACTATTTTTTGGGATTTCCATAGAAGCAAACTAATCAAATATGCACTATAAAGTAAAAACACTTTTTAATACAAAATTTTTATTTAAATGATATTGTATTAATATTTGGACCTTAGATAAATATTATATATAATCAATTTCAACTACGAATCTTAATTGGCCTCCTTTTGACACAAATATAGTCTTAAATTTACTGGATACCATTTATTATATTGATGATGCTCAAAGGGCTAACATTCTTACCATCGTGCACAAATGCTCTCATACCCTATTTAATGCTCCCATTTATCCACGCTAAAACCTGTAGGGCTCAATTAGGAAACAAACGTCCATATTGAATAACACTCACCTTGGAAGGTCAACTTCTAGTTTGAGATTCATATTAAATCACATCTATAAATGCCATAATTTTACTTAGTATCACTTTCACATTAATAACTTTGGCATTGAATGGCCACTTTTCCTAAAAATTTTTAAAAAAAACTCTCTTATATCTCTAGTAACCTGTTGTATATCAATAACGGTGGTGTTGTATGGACAAGAAAAAATGTTTTATTTATTATAAATATATCTAAAACTAAAAATGATACTAAAGTCCTGATGGGATCTCTCAAATCCCATGGAGGAGAGGCCAACTTTTGGTATGGGACTATTCCTGTATTGACTTCTTGGCCCCATCCAACCACGCCATCAACATCCTTGACCAGAAGGAACAACTTAAAATTTCTAAATACACAGAAATAATAAACGATCATTGCTTCATCCCAATCATATCAACCACTCTTGGCACCTTCGGCAAACTCGCCTTAGCATTTTTCAAAAAATTAGGATCACAAATCAGCAAACTCTCAGAAGAACCTCGAGAGGGTTTTTTTCTTCGTCAACGATTATCCATAGCGATTCACAAAGCTAATTATATCAGTTTCAATGGTAGCCTTCTAGCCAAAGAGCTATCATAGACAACGCTTACGTCCCTTTTTCATTTTTGTTCCCCTGCGTCACACCATCTCCGTTCTTTTTTTTAATAGTATTATTATATATTTTTCAAATACAAAATAATTTAAAAATTACATTCATTATATAATATTTATAAAAATACTATATAACATTTTAGAACTTTATATAAATTTCAAAGATTTACAAAAAAATGCCAAAATAAGGTATATATTTATTTGTATTATTAAAAAACAATTTAAACGAAATACATGGTTAAAGGCTAACATGTTTAAAATAAAAGAAATTTATGTTAAACAAATTTAAAAAGTTAATCTCGATTAACATTCCCCTTCTTCTGTAAAACCTTCCCATAATCCATCTGAGCTGTCATAGAAAACTTGTCGTCCAAATGGTTTATCATTTTGATTGTCAAGTTGTTGCATAAGTCGTCTTAATCGTTGGCTTGTTTAAATCGTTAGTTTGATATCCTTATCGTAAGTTATAAATCGTGATTTTGTCATGTAGCTTGCTTATAGTACTCAGTGGTTATTATTATCAATTTTTCAAAATTGTTATTATCATTATTATTATCTAATAGGATGTTGGAATATTTGAATAAAAAGAGAATTGATCAAATTTGGATGTTAGAATAATAAAAGGATTATAAATTCACAAGATTGTTAAATAATATTTTTTAGCGTTTTTATTTTTTATATTTTTAGCGTTTTTATTTTTATTTTAAGTTTTCCAATTTATTTTTTTTGCGTTTTAGTTTAATTTAATTTTTCGTGTTTTAGTATTTAATTTATTTTTACATATTTTAATATTTTAAGTTATATAATTTTTTAGATAAACAGGTTTTTGTCTACTTCGTATCGGTCTAGGAATCGGTGTTACAATATTTTTATCATTAATTTTAATATTTTTGTCCACACTTCCGTCCTTCTTAGGAGAGTCGTGGTATGCAAATGTGTTATAGCATCTCTCTTTCTTAATTGGTCCAGGTGTTTCCTTCTAATGCCTTTTTCTGTATAAACTTGGAACATAGTGTCACTTTCCTTCAAATTGATTGTCCCTTTGTCCCATGTGTCATTCCCTTGTACTTTATACCAAACAAAATCTCCTACGTTAAAGGTTCTATTTCGTGGTAAAGTAACGTTTATTTTGTTCTCCTTCTACTCCAACGGTTTTAATAATCTCATTTAACTCTAATATCACGATTGAACATTCTATTAGAAGGTGCCACTCCGGTTTTATCATTTGGTGTATCGGCAAAGTTATTTTCTATTTCAATATTTTCAATAACATCATTACTAATTTCTTGTGATAATCTTGAAAGGCAGTCAGGAACAACATTGTATTGCTTTATACTTTATATTGAAGTCGTAACCCCCCCCCCCCCCCAAAGTTATATTCCACTTTTGTAACCTAAGGACATGGTACTATTGTCCTTGAGTCCCTTGGTAAAATTGTGGACTAGTGGTTTATGGTTCGTGATGATGGTAAATTTAGTCCCAATCAAATATTCTTGAAATCGTTTAATTGCGAACATTATGGCAAGAGCCTCTCAATATTGGTGCAATTTATTTCGGATTTTGTTAAGGTTCTAGACCCAAAAGCAATGGGTTTTTCTTTGTTATCTTTCTCTGTGTGAAATAGTACAGCCCCTAATCCAGATTTGGATGCATCAGTCGCAATCCCAATAGGTAATTCCGAATTAAAATACGTCAGTGCTGGCGGGAGACTAATCAACTTTTTAAATCATTAAAATTTCTGGAATGTTCTAAGTTCCATTCCTATCATTCTTTGTTGACCATTTTGTACAAAGGATCAGCAATATCAGCGAAGTTACTCAAAAATTTCCCATAATAACCACCCATTTCCAGAAATGTTGACAGCTCAGCAGTAGATTTGGGTCTGGCATGTTAATTATTGCTTCAATTTTATCATGGTTAGCATGAATTCCCTTGTCACCTATATCGTGACCCAGGAACCTAACTTTGTTTTTAAAAAATAAACTTTTGGCGAAGTTAGGTATTAACCCGTACGATAATATTCTTTCAAACATCTTCTTGATGTTTTTTAAATGTGTTTCATCGTTATTTCCAGTTATTAATAAGTCATCAATATAAAATATAACATCTTTTATATCAACGAAATTCTGATCCATGATTTGTTGGAATATAGCAGATGAAGTTTTCAACCCAAAAGGAAGTCTGGTAAATTCGTAGTATCCCTTATGTGTGGATATAGTCAAATTATTTCTTCTATTTTTATCGATCGGAACTTGTAGAAAAGCATTTGTGAAATCGATTTTGGTAAATTTTTTTCCTTCTGAAAGTTTAGCTATAAGATCATTTATATGTGGAAGTGGGGTATCTAAAGTCTTCAATAGCTAGGTTTATAGTGTCTTTAAAATCTGCGCAAAGCCTGATGCTCCCATAATCTTTGTATGCGACGGTTATAGGACTCCCACATCGCACATCATTTACAGGCTCAATAATTTTTTCGTGTATCCATCTAATTAGTTCTACGCCCACAAGATCAATCTTTGAATAATGTATACATCTTGGTGGTATTATTTTAAGTTGGGCGTCACATCTTAAATGTAATTTGACATTTACTTTGTTAATTGGTTCGCTAGTCAATTTGGATTCATAATCTTTAATAATTTTATTGATTTCATCTTCATAATTGGTATCGACATTTCGTGTGAATTTATTTAAAATGTTTTTAAAGGCATTGATCCAGATTCTTCCTAATAACGCGTTCTTTCTCGATCTACAACTACTGCTAGTAAATATTTAGTGATTCCTTCATAACTTACTTTAACTTGAATTATCCCGATGATTTTAATCAAGATTCTATCGTAGGTTGTAAGCCGCAAACTGGATTTCTTCATTTCTCTTATGCCAATTTTTTTAGCCATATTATGAGGTATGATAGTATACTTTGATCCAGTGTCAACCTGCATAGTTGTAGTAACATTATTTAATTTTAAAGTAGTCATAAAAGCACTGTCATCACCTTTGTTTGTATTTTCAGCCAGGTTGTTGACATTGAAATCATTCTCATTATTGTCTTTGGCAGTGCCACTTTATTTTCTTCAACTTCTTCAATATTCATATTACAATTATTGCTATCGTAGAAGTTTTGATTATCATACTGGATTCGTTTTCTTTGATTAAAATCCTTACACCTATTTGGATCGTCATATTCGATTTGTTTTCTTTGGTTATCATTATTATGCAACCTTGTTTCCTTTATAATTATTTAAATTGTTGTTATATCGGTAATTATTATGATTTAGATCGTCACATTGAATCTGTCTCCTCTGATTATAATTAAACCAGGCGTTGTTCCTACCATAGTTGTTGTTATAAGATTGATAATTATTATTATGAAAGTTTCTGTTGCTATTGTTATACCGATAATTGTAATTTTGATAGTTAATATCATTATACTGATTATTTTTATAGTTATTATTATTATAATTGTTATTGCTTCTATCGTTACTAAAATTCCTATTCTTGTTGTAGTTAACATTACTAAAATTATTATCACCATAATTTCTACTGTCAAAATTTTGCCTCGAATAATAATTAGGTCTATTATAGTTACTATTAATCTCATTCCTATTAGAAGTACTTTGGATATCTAAATTCTTATCATTATTTCTATTATTGTCATTATTTTTATTAAATTTTTTATCCCTACTAAAAACATAATTAACTTTGTCACTTTCTGATTTAATGTTAATACTATCTAATTTTCTTCATATATCAATCATTTCGTTTTGTGTGTGTCCTTTATATCAAATAATTTTTATAATTTATTACATAATTCCAAAAATTTTTTATATTTTTTAATATATGAGATTTTTTTATATATCATTGTGCGTGAGTTACCATACAAAGCGAGGTACCATGTTATATTTCAATAACGGTGGTGTTGTAAGGACAAGAAAAAGTGTTTTATTTATTATAAATATATCTAAAACTAAAAATGATGCTAAAAATAAATATAAAATAAGGTATATATTTTTATTATAAAAAAACAATTTAAACGAAATACATGGTTAAAGGTTAACATTTTTAAAATAAAAGCAATTTATGTTAAACAAACGCATAAACCCATAGAAATATTTATTTTAGATAGAGAATAACCATTGAAATATGCAGATCCTTGCACCAGTCACGGATATATGCCTTTATTATATTTATTTATATTTTTAATATTTACATTTTATAAAATTTTATTCGTATTTTATTAATTTTTCAAATTTTATCATATATTTTTTATATTTTGCTATTTTAAATAATTTCATTTTATATTTTTTTTTAAATATAAATTAATTATAGTTTTAAATAAATTTTTTTTATGTTTAGACTTTTAAACTAAATAAATATCGTTTTTTAAACATATTATGGTATTTAGAGTTATTATTCAATTTTGAAATACTTTTTGACACTTTATTAAAAACTGTAATAAAATTTTTATGATAATAAAATGTACAAGAGAAATTTAATTTATTTAAACTATAAAAGCTTTGAACTTCGATGCTGAATTATAAAATATTTTAGGTTACCAAGATTCACCTTGTCTCTCCATATTTTTAAGTTAAACATTAAATCTTACGGTCAAGATTATTGTATCTCTTTTAAAAGAAATAATTGTATAAATATGAAGAAATATTTGCTAGCACCTAAAAATTTCTTAATCTTAAGAACAAATAAAAAAGGAAGGAATTTTATTGGGTAATAAAATTTTAAGTTCTAAAATTAGATATGGCTAATTTTTTATTTATAAATTCTAATTTTGTGTTAAGTCGTCGGAAGATAATTGTATAAAATTTATACAATAAAATGTGTTACTTTTTCGAATATATATTACCGCCCAAAAATAATATTCAAACTTAGATTAAAAAATAGTTAAGACCGTATCATAGGGATTTGACTCGTTACTAAACAGCCAATTATTTATTTGCCGAGCGCATATAGAAAAATTAGATAGGATAACAAAAATAAAAGCAAAGTTATTAGTCATCAAATAAAGAAAATATATTCCAAGAAAAATTGCTATACATGCATGTCAACTTTTTTATCATATTATATTTTAAAATGAAATTTATTGTTATAAATTCATTTAGAAGACGAATTCGGTAAAATTTTTAATTTTTTTTGAAATCCCAGTAAAAATTAATAATAATAATATAAAGAAAATTTTGTAAGGCGATAATTTAATTGTTTTTGTTTTATTTTTGGATATTTTTTGGATTTTTAATCATTAATTGAGCCAGTTATTTTAGATTAAAAATCGGATTCTGCAAGAAATACTTTCCAATTGTATAATATCCACCCTATAAATATTATTTTATAATGAACATTTAAATTAATTTCAATTTATATTAAAATATAGAAAAATTATGGAGAAATATATAAATTTAGGTTTCTTTAAAAATTGATCATATAGTTAAGATGATTTAAACATTTTACTGAACAATTGGAAACAAATTTATAAGGAATAATACAATCCTCCCCCGATAAAATATACATTAAACGAAAAATTTTTCTATCTTACATTTGTTCAGATAATTTCTTTTCAACATTATTTTTATATTTTTTTTAAATTTTAAAATAACCCATTTTTCCGCAATCTTTAACTATATAAATTTGAAAAAATTATAACCTCAATTTTTTTAAAAAATTATGTCTATGGTTCCATTTCTAATCATCGATTCTACATAAAAATATATTTTTTTACACTTATACTTTAACGGTATAAAGTAAATTTGTTTATATATTTCCCTAATTTTTTGATATTATTTTATAAATTACTTATATTAAAAAAAATATAACCTTAAATTTAGAATATTTTTAATAAAATAATAATTTAAGCCTTTGATTCACAAATAATTTAATATCAAAAATTTTAAAACCACAACTGGGAAACCAACATTATCCCCAATTTTTTTAGATGATAATAATTTTAAAATATTTTTACTTAAAATCGTCCAACATAAATTTAGTAACCCATAAAATCAAATTAACTAAATCTCCAATTATATGAATGTATTGATAATTTTAAAACTTCTTTAAAATTAAATTAATATACCTTTAAGTTGTTTTTAAATCAAAAAATGATTTTTATTCTATATTTAATATAACTACCATATATTTACTCATAAATAATATGATATAATCTTTAAAGCAAACACTACCAGCGAAATTCAACCCCCAGGTAATTAAATTAGTAGTTATAAATTATATTTATTGCATTCTTGTTATATTTAAATCCATATATTTTTTAAATAATTCTATTAATAATGTATTCACTATCATATTTTGCATTTAATTATAATATTATAAATAAATTTCAAAATTTAACCCCAAAGAATATTGTTTTATTTATTGAAAATTAAAAACTTCTTTAAAATTAATTTAATATTATTAAACCATATTTTATTTAAAATCGTCCGTATAATGTTATTTTTTATAATGCTATTCTTTCATTGCTAGATTAAAATATATTGATTTATTTGAAAATATGTGATATGTGCTTCTTTCTTTGGTATTTTCTTGAAAAGAATTTTTATTAGAATAGCCAAAAATATACTCTCATTTAAACCTTTTTTATATAATAAATATTAATATAAATGATTTTGAAATATAAATATTTTTTTGAACAAATTAATTTTATTATACAGAAATTTATATATTCGAAAAAGCTCATAGTTGGAATATTTTCATATTTATTAAAAATTTCTTTAGATATAAATTATAAGAAGGTATTAGTAATCACCTGTGCATTGATATTTACAAGGTGCTATTTATTATTTATTTTAAAGAAATAAAATTTTAAATAATTCGTTTTAAAAAATAAACACCAAAAATTTTATTATCGAAAACACGACATGTCTTTAAATAATTTGTTTTATGACATTTCCCATTTACTCTGTATTTGAATGGAACAGATAAAACTCTATTAGTATTTTCTAAATAATTGTACGACTAAAATTTTTAGATCTCAACAATTTTGTTTATTTTAATCTTTTCTTTTTAAATAGATGTAAATTTTTTTTTCAAAATAAAATGCTAATTAATATTTTTCTTACTTCCATTTTACATATTGCAAAAATCGTTTAAAATAATAATAAATTGACCGAAATAGAGTTTAGAAAAAAATATCAATTAAAAATGTATTTCTTTATCTTTCACCATTTGATTAAATGAATCAGTCAATATGCGTATTATCAGATTTTCTCAGTAAACATTATAAATAAAATTGTAAACTAGAGTTTAATATTTTGATATATACTAAATGTTAATAACAACCAAAAATTAATAATTTAAGAAACTCAAGAGTGAATTAGAAATGGCAGACTTTTGAACATAAGAAAGTGCCTACATTTTTTTTCCAGCAATGTTAGACAACCTTCTTATATAGTGTTTTACCTCTCCAAAATTTTTTCTAATTTAAAACCAACTATCTTTATAGAAATTCTTATGCGAAAAAATCTATTTCAGCTGAATTTAGCAATACTTTAAATTTTGATTTACTACCAATATGCTTTTGGTGAGAAATTTGATTTAATACATAAGATAACTCATGTTAAACTTTTTAATTTTAATAAACATGCTAAAGTGTGAGATAATTTTTTAGAGGCATTTAATGGGCACATAAATAATTTAGCTATATATATTTTTAGAAAAAAATGAATGCTCAAATTTATCAAGTAATAAAAATATTATGGCATATTCTTTTAATTTTCAGATAAAAATAATATTGCTTTTGAGTAATTCGAAAGATAATATAAAAACTATTTATTAACAAATATTATAATATAAAAACTAAAATAATAATTATTATTATATCATCTTATTTCTATTCCCAAACATATTATGATTATCGATAAATTCAAAATATTTAAAATAGTCCATGCAATGTTTTTGTTGCTAAATCGATATTTAATTTAGAAAATAATATATAATAATAAAGAAATGTTTATGAATTAATATAAAAAGAAAAAGTATCTTCGGAGTATATTTTTTATAACCTAGGTATGAGGTTTTATTGATATCTCAAATAATCATTTCATTTGAAATCTAAACAATTTTAAGTCAGATCCCTTCCTACAAATATATTTTATAATTTAAGCATATATTGATTAATAATATTTATATAATATTAAATTAATTTATACATTTAATATTTAAATATAATATTATATATAAGAATAATAATTTAAATAATAAAATATATTAATTCACAAATAATATAATAGTAAAAATTTTAAGAGCCTATAAAAAAAATATACTTCCAAATTTTTTTTAAATTTTAGTATTTTAAAACTACATTTAATCAAAATCCATATAATCTTAATAATAAATATTTTAGAAACTAAACATAAAGTCAGAGGAACCAAACCGCCAAGGATATTATTATTAAATCTACTTTAAAATTTATTCATAAACTATATATATATTATCATCGATATAATTTTATTTTTAAATAATGATATTCTTGTTATTGTTAGATCAATAATGTTGATATTAAATATTGATATTCTTGTTATTGTTAGATCAATTATGTTGATATTAAATAATTCCATTAATAATGTAATCACTATATTAAATTGCAAAATATAATTTATAACTCCTACAATTAGATAAACTCCCCCCCCCCCCTCCTATACATTATCCTCTTTGATAAAATTAATAAATTCATCTAATATATATTTGGTAGTTTTAAAGGATACTTATTCAAAATCTATATTTTTACTTTTACCTAGTTATTTTAAATCAAAAAATATAGATTTATATTCAAAATTTTTTCAATCACCAATGATATTTTTATTTGAAGATATTCATGTCAATGTTATATCAAAAAATGTTGATTTTTATTTTATTTACAATTACGATATACTTATTCACAAATAATATAATAATTGTATTTTATCTAAGCAATATTATTATATTTTCTTGATAAATTCTATTAATTAAATTTAAATTAGATAGTCAAAAAAATTGATAATAAATAATTAAATTAATAATGTTATCACTATATTAAATAACTAAATTTTAGTAACCTCTACAATCAGCGAACCCCAAGGTTTATACATATTTATTAATTAATTTTAAAACTTTTTCAAATTGATTATTTCGTTGTAAATTTTTACTCAAAATCGGCTATATAATGTCTCTTTTACATTACGTCATTAGATTATTTATAAATTTTGAAACTTTTATAAAATTGATTAATATAAATTGGAATTATTCAAAATCGTTATATAATGTTCTTTTTAAATTCCAGGTTTATATTTATTAATTATTTTATAACTTTTTTAAAATTGATTAACTAGTTACAAATTATTATTTAAAATCGGCCATATAATGTTATTTTTAGATTGCATCATTCTTATAATTGTTAGATCAAAGAGTTATATATAAATATTTTAAATAATCTAAAAAACGGTAAATAATTATTTTAGTAACAACTAAAATCAGCAAACCTGAACCTCCAGGTTTATATATTTTTTACAAATTTAAAAATTTTTTAAAATTTGATGCCATTCTTATTTGTTATATCAAAAAAGTTGATAATTAAATAATTCCATAAATAATATAATCACTATATTAACCTAAATGATAATTTTAGTAACCACTCCAATCAGCAAAACTCAACCTACAGGTTTATTTATTAATTAATTTTAAAACTTTTTTATAATTGATTAAATAGTTAAAAATTTTATTTAATTAAAATTTGCCAAATTATATAATTTTACAAAGAGCCGTAGGTGAAATATTTGAGCTAGGCGCTTACTTGAGGGGCCAATATTTTTTTAAAATAAAATAAATAATTAAGCATTCATAAAAACTTTTTGCTATTTTTATTAAAAATTTATTAATGTATGACAAAATAATACTATAATATGAATATACTAGTGCTGTAAACATTTCTCGAACGCGTTCAAGTTCATGTTCAAAAAAAGGAACGCGTTCACGTTCATAAAACCGTTCAAAATTTTATGATAAATTTTTTGAAAATTTAATATAATATAAATTAACTTATATTTTTTAATACAATATATTTTAGCCATGTTAAAAAATAATATAGTTATATTTTGATAATATAATTATAATTATAATATAACGAATATAAAATTATTTTTATTTATAAAAAATTATTTAAATTTTAATAACAATTCTTTTCAAAATATTTATCTGAAGAACACTTGGCAGTTAATAAGGCATTAGCTATACTAAAAACGGGCTCTACAGGGGCAGATGCGGGGATTGCGGTATTACACTTAGTAAACAGCTCTTTTAACGTAGAGAATTAATTAAAAACATATTGTTTTGTTATTTTTAAAAAATTGAGATATCCTCCTCCAATCCATTATCTACTCTCGACAAAAAAAAAGGATATCTTGAAATTAACAGTTCTCTAGGGTTTTCATAGCATTTTTTTCATTGCGCTAGAAGTTTATTTTTAATAGGTTTATTCAGTGGAAGTTTTATCCATGGCCATTGAAGTTTGAATGCTGTATGTGTAATTGCAGAAAGAACATATTTATCCTTAAATATATGTTCAAATATTTGAAAAAATTAAATATATGTAATTAATTGAGAGTAATAGGTTTAATACCTTTTATTAATCCCATTTAATACGGCGCCTATCAATGGTTGACCATATTTTAAACTACTAATTTTTTTTAATTTCAAAATAACTATCGTTACTGTTGGCAAATTTAATGATTTAATCTAGTTATATCATATAAAATCAAATAATTAATTTAAATCAAATGTCGTTGGAACCTGAAGATTTTGGCAATATAATACTTTTTGGCCACATTTTATACTTGGTAAGCATTGGATTAGTTCCTTTAGTTAATGTAAAACATTTATCATATTTGACCATATTAATGATAATTCATTTGATTTTGAATTTTCAGAATCAAATGATAAAGATTAAATAATAATATCCATGCTTATGTTAGCTAATCTTCATTCTTATCATGCCCATCAAACTTGGTAATTAATAAGGTGTTCAAAATAAAGTTTTAACATTTCTCGGAGACTTTAACAAAAACAAAAATAACTACAAATTAAAATAGAAGATATATAGTCTCATGTCAGAAATATGAATAAGCAAAGAAGCAAAAAAGAGAAGTGGCAGAAAATACCAATAAAATCAAAAATCAGGGTTTAATTCACCAAAATGGTGTTAGCAAAGAGGTCTGAATAACAAAAGCAAAGTTAAGAGTTTAGAAGTTATTTATGATAGATCAAACTTCAATGGCCTCAATTAGTAAAAGCAAACCATCTTAGAAAAAAAAATCGAGAGAATATCAAGGAGAAAATCGGGCTAAATTCGGATTTACACTTTTCAAATAATTTTGGATTAATGATAAGTTAATTGTTTTAAAATGGAAATATAAATATGTGCAGCAAATGAATGCGCCCTCTTATAAAAATCAAGGACTTGTAGAAGCCTGATATAAATAAAAAAATGATTAGTTTAATAAATAAATATTATTTTAAAAGTTGAAATGACGTTATTAAAAGAGTAAACAAATTTAAAAATTGCTTTTAACTTTTATTTAGAATAAAAAAAATCATTTACACTATAAATACAAGGTCAGAATATCTAGGTAAAGTAAATATTTAACGAGAATTAATGATTTATCAAAAAAAATTATTAAAAAAGTATAAAAAGATTCAAAAATTTGGAGAGAATATATAAATATTCCTTTTCTAAAACTTATTTAAATAAAAATCACAACTTCATTTAAAAATGTTGAGAAAATTGTTAACAATTTTGATATTCCATAGATCAATAATAAAATTTAAGAAGAGTACTTATTTAATTTTATATGATACAATTATTACCTATTTTAATTTAAAAAGAAATATATAGATAAATTTATATATTTTTTTATAAAACATAATAATGTTTAAACATTTTGGATTTAAAAAAAATCTTTATCTCCCTGCATTTTATTTTAAAATTTAATATCAGTTAGCATTTAAAAAAAACAATTATCCTTTTTAAATTAACCTTTTTAATAGAGTTAAGAATTAAAACCATAAACAATTATTTTTTAAATTTTATTAATTGGAAAACAAGTTCAAAAATATGATATTGATATATATTGTTTATATGGAATTGAAATAAAATCAGAGACACGGAGCTTGGTCAAATTTAAGAATTCAAATAAGAACTAAAAAGAAGAAAAAAACTTCTTTATAATTTTGGGACTACTTAACAGAACCCAGATTTTTGGTTCTAATCCCCAATTATATTAATTAAAAATAATGCATAATTTTATTTATTTATATTTTATGATCTTAAAGCTTCTTATGGTTGTAATATTGTTAGAACTACTGGAGGCGCAAGTGTTAACATAGATCTAACAAAAGGGAATGAAGAAGATGGTAAATTATATTTATACAATTGCCTATAATTTGAACGGATATTATTTAAAATAAACTCAAATAAAAAAAAATATCACACATCTTAAAAATAGAAATATATAGACATTAAAAATTAAACATAACAAAAATCTATCTATAAATTGAAGATACGAATTATATAATATAACTAGAGATAGAATTTACTCATTTTTTATGTTATATAATTTTTTTTTTCAAATACCTAAAATAATAATTTTTTTTAAGATATAAGGTTATAAATGACCAAGATAATTCTGCCCTACTCTTGCTCTTGGTTAATTGTGGTGTTTATTTTAGAGTAATTTTATATTGAACTTATTATTTTAATAGTTAAAATGTAATTTATAATTATTTGATATAAAAACCATATTTTCAAATTTAAGTTCTTTTCTGGCTTTTCTTTTAGAGTCAGATGTTAAAATTAATCTAATCATTTTTACTTATTAAATAAAGATTATATAAATCAATTTGGCAAAAATTTTATCAAAGTTTATTTTAATTGAGTTTGGTTTATTATAATCTTGTTTTTATTGGTTTTCATTCCAAGAGGTGCCATTCTCTTTCAGGTGTTTCATTTTTCGTAAATAATAATTTTAACTATATTATTTGTGTTAAAACGCTTTTATTCATCTTTGCTTCTAAAATAAATTATGAATTATGTGAATATAATTTTTAATTACTCATATTTATAATTCAATCATTTCAGTAATAAAGAAAGGGGGGGGGGTGAGTATTTCTTGGCATATTTCTTTTTTGTATAGCATCTCAAATAGATATAATTACAATCTATCACTTTTTCCCTAATAAATAGTGAATATATAAACAATTTTTTTTGTAAAATATTTATTTGTACATAAACATGCCTTTTATATATGTATATGTCTTATTGGGATATGACATCTATTGGGCGGGATACGTCATCTCTGAATTTAATATCATTTAGGGAGGAGATTTATAAATTTGAAAAATCTGATTTGACCAGAAATTAAGTTCAGCATGTTTATGACACCTACACTGTAAATTTCAAACAGTTTTTATCATAAATCTTTGAATTTATTTATATGAAAATATATACAAAAATTTGATAAAAATTAAGGATATTTCTAATTAGTGATGTTAAATAGCCAGATTTGACAAATAGATGTCTAAATCTTTCTACCATCGGACAAAACCTCCAGACTTACATAATATTATTTGATTCAATTGGGCTGTTTTAAAAATTTATCCCAAGTCAACATTTTTAACAAAACCACTTACAATGTTCTACTCACGGTTATCTGTAATTCAAAGTGTGACGGCTTTTCTTTCTTATCAATTAATGCTCGCACTCAGTAAATGATTCAATGTAAAAATAACAATATAGTAAAACAATTATTATTATCCCTACAAATCCTATTTTATGGGAAAATAATCCAGATTCCCTTTATAAGAACGGGTATAATCGATTAAGAAATAAATTATACATAACCATACCATATTTATGTTTATTGTATAATATAATTATTATGTGATGTGTATATTTATTTAACAAAATCCTTAAATATAATTCAGATTTTTAAATATTTTCGAAAATAATAATTTTATTTATTTATTTTTAGACACGATGGGGCGTAAGACCGTATCATATAAAATCTTGCCAAATTGTAAAAAAGGTGCTTTATCATTCCGCTGGGCAAAATGCAGTTAAATTAATTATATATAGTGATAATATTTTTAAAATTATTTCATAAAACTATTCATGACAAGGGTGTACAAAATTCTGTAGTAGGTATACTCGAGTTTATGGCAAATTTTTAAAATTTAAATTATTTGTAAAGAACGTTTCATTTATTTTGAAAGATATTATTTTGTTAAAATCGTATTTTAAGATGTAAAGAGTTAATAGTAAATTTCAAAAAATTAGGTCTTGAATTTTTTTTTTAATAATTATGAAAAACCATGTAATTTTCTGCCTAATATTTTTGCTCGTTGGAATCTGTAGGAATTCTTGCTTCTTAATATTTTTTAAAAGTAAATCTGCTACTTGTATACTTCATTATTTCAATTTTTAAATTTTAATCTTTAAGATGCAAGTATATCCAAACCATATATTAGTTCGTTGACTTGGGTTGTGTTAGATAAAAACATTTATACTGAGCTTGGAAAGAAAATACCATCTTCCGATGGTGGAGGAGTTGGTACAGTAGATAATCGGGACGAAAAAATTAATCCGCCAGTTAAAATTACCCGTGATACAAGACTTAATGGATTTTTAAAAAAATTTGATATTGTAACAGACAATGTTACAACACTTATGTTAACGGTATGCATATTTTATATATTACATCCTAACAAATAAACACCTTTGTTATAATTATAAAAATTGGATAATACAATTTTTGAATATCCTTTTAAAATTTTAAAGGAGTTGGAAACAAAACCCTTTTTATAATTTTCGGGTCAGAATTGCAGTAACTAAATATTGGGAAAGTGTCAAAATTCTTCCGAAATATAATGACCCCCCTTTTTCCTCCCATCCATAGAACTAAAATATTTTTGGTTAATCTTATTATAAAAGGGGTAAGTATAATATCTATATTACAGCGAGATTTTTAATTTTCCACTCATTAGAAGCCGCCCATCTTTTTTAATTTAACAAACAATATTTAAAATAAATAAAAAAAATTATTATTAATTTTATAAATCACATTCGCTACAAATCTTAGATTAGCTTCAAAAATATTCCCATTTTTGCATGGATTTGCAATAAAACAAATATATCTCAAGATTAGAAAAGAGGGCTTTTTACATTAAGAAAGTACAGCAATTTAAGAAATTTTTACCTGAATGCTACCCTGACTTTTTATCTGAAAGCAAATCTCGTCAACCCCATTTGTTAAAAGGATAAGGTTAAAAGTTTTGATAAGTAAAAAGTTTACTTTATATTAAAAAGGAATGGGAACCTGCAAATTTATATTTTTTTAATTTTATCTCTTTAAATCCATTGATGGCCATTTGAGTATTTAATAAAATCATCGTTTCATAAACTTTAGCTATCATTTTATAAGTGTTAGTAGTTAGAGTACCCCTTATAACTTGGATGTATCCAAAAGTTATATAATTGATCTATTCAATGAATATTTAATAGTATAATGCATGAAAAATTATTTATACGAATCAAATATATAATGTAAATAAATAGGAGATAATTTATAATATAGCATTTGAAGAAATAAATTGTTTTTTGCTAATTAATTTATTTGAAGATTATTTTTTAACTACTCTTATCCTTTCCCCTTTCAAAATTTTTGGGAGCTAGAATCAGAATCCCCTTTTATTTCCGATAACTTAAATTTGAACTGATAAAGGTTTATTTTTTTCAGACATTTTAAAAGTTTTTAGTATTGTTGCTTATTAAAAAAGTTCATAACTAGAATTAGAACCAACATTAACACCAGAAATTATGTCTTTGTTAGTTGAAATAAGATAATTATATTTCTCGGAACCAATAAATGTTGAAAGTATTTATATTTATATTTTCATTTTTATTTATAATTTTATTTTACAATAGTGTGAAGGCACTGAGCAAAAGAGTAAATTTAGTCTCTTCGTCATACCATGAAAATAATATCTTATGCTATTTAAAATTTATTTTGGATGAATGATTATTATATTATATTCTTTATTGTATCTGGAAAATTCATTTATATATAAAAATTTTCATTCGGATTATCATTTACTCTCCAAAAATAATTTCACATTTATTTTATTAACGGATCTATTTTTAGAAACTTGTTTACAAATTTTCAAATTGCGCTAAAAATAATATTACTTTATTTTATTTGGGTCTATTTTAATGATTTGATTACAAATATTTATTTATAATCCTGGGCTTATATTTTATTCGCCAAAAAAACAATATTTTTATCTAATTTACGAGCTAATTTTTAACAATTTGATTGCCAAAATTTTGTGATTTATTATTTTGTGGGTTGACAATTTATGTTTTTTCCTACCAATAAAATTTTAATGGGAACATATAACTTTTACAAATCATTATTAAGCAATTTAGCAGAAACATAGAATTATTCTGGGGTTGGATATTATAAAGCAGATTTTTTCAGCTTAAATATTATTGAAGATCTTTAGCCCTATTTATTTTCACTTGATTAAATACTTAGGTGCTCTCTTTGGATTTAATAGCTTCAGACTTGCATAAAGTAATATGTATTGAAAATGACTTTTATTAATAGTATCTCAAATCTTTAGTAGTTTCAATAAAATCTCAGAATATATAAATTTTTTTTAATTTCAATTTATTATTTTTTTAAAATATAATATAATAATCATTTAAAAATAAATTAGAAAAGAAATTCTTTTTATAGCATTTTGTTATCCAACAGTGATCCATATTATACGAATTAAATTCTCAATTGTTTTATTTTCAAAACCTCGATATAGCTATGATCGAGATATTTATCGGTGCATGGCATGAGTGGTTGGATATTGGAGTTATAGATGGTTCCAATACTCCGTTATAGACAGGGGTTACTGAAAAAGACGGACTGGATATGGATTTAAAGTAGTCATGTTGTATCTTTCACCGTTTTACAATCATTTTTGAACTTAAAGAGGTTTTCCAATTGATAAAATTTAAAAAAATCATTTCTAGTTTCAATTCTTAACTCTATTAATGAGATTAATTTAAAAAGGATAATAGTTTTGTTTAAATGCTATCTGCTGATATTAAATTATAAAATAAAATGCAGGGAGATAAAGATTTTTTTTAAATCCAAAAAGTTTCCTTAAACAATATTAAGTTTTATAAAAAGAAATATGTTAATTTATTTATATATTTTTTTTAAAATTAAAATAGGTAATAATTGTATCAAATAAAATTAAATAAGTACTCTTCTTAAATATAATTATTGATCCAAGGAATAGCAAAAGTGTTAACAATTTTCTCAACATTTTTAAATGAAGTTGTGATTTTTTTTAAATAAGTTTTAGAAAAGGAATATTTATAAATTCTCTCCAAATTTTTGAATCGTTTTATACTTTTTTAAATTTTTTTTGATAAATCATTAATTCTCGTTAAATATTTACTTTACTTAGATATTCTGACCTTGTATTTATAGTTTAAATAATTTTATTTATTCTAAATAAAAGTTAAAAGCAATTTTTAAATTTGTTTAATCTTTTTATAACGTCATTTCAACTTTTAAAATAATATTTATTTATTAGACTAATTATTTTTTTATTTATATCAGGCTACTTACAAGTCCTTGACTCATTTTATAAGAGGGCGCATTCATTTGCTGCACATATTTATATTTCCATTTTAAAACAATTAACCTATCATTTATCCAAAATTATTTGAAAATTGTAAATAATTTAGCCCTATTTTCTCCTTGTTATTCTCTCAATTTTTTTTTCTAAAGTGGATTAATTTGAGATGTGTAAATCCATGACTAGTAGCTAGTGTTGTGCGGCGATATCTTCTCCTGGGATGATGTTGCAGTTTATTACATCTTTTAATCTTCTGCGAGAGATAAGAATGTAATCTATCTGGGTTTTCCTTGCACCACTTTCATGTGTTATTAAATGACTGTCCTTTTTCCTATAGTAGGTGTTGGTTAAGGCAAGGTCGAAGGCTTGCGCAAATTTTAGTACGTACTCTCCTTTATATTTTCTTTCTCCATATCCAAAACTACCATGATGCTATTTGTAGCTATCTCTTGCTTTCCTCACATGCGCATTTAAGTGACCACCAAAGACTAGATTAGCAAGCTTGAATATCAGGACGCTTAAAGGTAAGACGAGAGAGTTGGCATCAATGTTGTACAAGAGAAAATTTGATATAGCGTGCATACAAGAGACGAAATGGAAAGGACAGAAGACTTTGATGATTGAAGATGGGTATAAATTGTACTAAAATGGAAATGTTAGCAAAAGAAACGGTATCGGCATCACTCTCAGTCAAGATCTAACATCCTCAGTAGTAGAAGTCAAAAATCTTTGATAGACTAATGAAGATAAAACTCTGCATTGGTCAATCAATACTACACATCCTATCAGTATATGTTCCTCAAACGGGTTGCAAGGAAGAAGTGAAAGATGACTTTAGAGCTATCCTTGATGAAGCTGTAATGGAAATCCCTAAAGATGACCGGTATTAATAAATAACTAATTAATAAATTTGGATCTTTGGATATTGAAAGAAAAAATTAATACAGTTTTGGAATGGAATAGGATATCAAAATTTGGATTAGAAAATATTTTATTGAATATATTTCAAGGGAAAAATGATAAAAAAAATATTGAAGCACCATAAAAAATCTGTAAAAGAGTTAGATGTTAAAAACTCGGGAAAAATGATGAAAAATATAATTTTAGTGAATATGGTAAATAATAATCAAGAAATTTGTGATAAAGGAGAAAATAAATTTTTGGAAAATAAAATACTAAAAGGTGGTGAAATTAAAAATATATTTAATAATTCTAAGGAAATTCAGAAAAATAAAGAAATTATGAGTGATAAAATGGGTCAGGAAAAACTTGATATTTTGGATAAGAAAATTGACATAAGTATAATACCTAATATTGAAATTGAAAAAAATATTGATTTGAAAATTAATAATATTTCAATTGATTTGGAAATTGATTATATTTTGGAAAGTCAAGAAATTGAAAAAATATTGACTTGGAAATTCATAATATTTCGGTTGATCTGAAAGTTGATAATATTTTGGGAATTGATGATGAAAATTTTAATTTTGAAATAGATAATGAAATAATTTCAGGGAAATCGAAGATGATGAATAATTATATAAAATGTGATAAAATTTATAAAGATTCAAATTTGGAGAGGGAAAAATTACCTGTATCGGAAAATTTTCCGGTGAAATTGGTGAGAAAAAAAATAAAAAATGAAAGTGTGGTAGAAGGAGGATTTAGTTCTATTAATGATTGATATGATTGATTTAAGAAATAAGTATAAAAATTTATTTGAGGAAAAATTGAGTTGTTTCATAGATTATAAGGTAGATATTTATTTAAAAGAGAGTGGAAGATAATAAAGGGGTCAAAAAGCATTGAAAATAATTGAGAACAAGAAAGGGTATGAAGACGTAGTAAAAAAGAAGGAATTAAAGGAAAAATTTAAGAATATATATGAGAATAGTAAACTAATTATCTGAGGGAATTATAGAATTATATAATATATTTTTTGAGGGGTAAAATGCTTATGGATCGCTTAGTCCAATTGTAAAATGTTAGATGTAATTCTTGAAAATAATGTATTAAATATTAATATTGTAAAATTTGATTAATGTTATTATTAATGTTGTTAATGAGATAATTGTAAAAATTAGATGTACACGTGCAGTTGTTTTATTTTTATTAAAAAATGTTATAGTAATAAAATCATGAAGTAAAATATGTGGATGGTATTAGAAAGGTCATTGTATTAAAGTTTAACTTGTTTTAATTTTTTTTATTTATATTGGTAAAAGAAGATGGGAAAATAAAATATTTATATGAGTTGGGATTGTAATAAGTTTGTTAATATAAAATTATTGGTTATAAAAAGTAATTAATTATTAAAGAATTAAGAAGTAAAAATAGAATATTATAAAAAATTGTTAGCGGTATTGAGAAGAGAAGAAATAAATTGCGAAAAGACTGGTAGTAAAATAGGGAAATAATTGAAAATATAAGGGTAAGAATAAAGAAATAATATAATGAAATGTTGTTGTTTTGTGTAATTCATTATGTAAAAAAAAGGGGTATTTTGAATATGTTGTTAAAGTGTTTAAGTTCTTGTTATAAAAAAAGAGTAATAATTGTATCTGATCTGGGATAATGTTAAAAGGAATGAAGAGTGATTACATTTTAGATGCAATTTTAAAAAAATATGTAATAATACCAAGCTTAAAATAGTATGATCAGGATTTACCAATGATGCCATAGATCAATCAAGCTATGATTAATAAACCAGGATAATTTTTGATAACAATCAAAACAATAGTTTAATCAAATATCAAATCGTATACGTCAGAAATGAACGATACAATAATATCAATAAATATCAATGATATGAAGTTTCGCTAACGTCGATATAAGAGAACATCAACGATATGAAGTTTCGCTCCGTCGATACCAAGAGAATTTCAATATTGCGAAGTTTTGATTCAAAGGAATCTAAAAAAATTTTTTTAAATTATAGTTATGACAGTAAAATGTGGCATGTATTACCTTGAAAGGGGGTACATATTGTATTATATAAAATATTTATTTATTATATAAAAAATAATTGATAAAAAAAAATAATATTAAAAAGAAATATATTATATTTTGTTAAAAATCGGCGATTATTATTATTTTATGTTATAAGATGTGAAGATAAAAAGAAATAAAAAAAAATATTTAAGAGTGTGAAAAAATCAATTCTCAAAATTCTATAATTTAGAGCTTCTTTCTTTCTTGCACCATTCGTAATTTTTGTTAAACCAGTCCCAGGTAAAGGTAACTTGCTATGAAATAGCATCAAATAAAATATTGACTTAAGGTAGTAAACGATTTCGATTAATATGTTGGCTTACCAAAATTGTTGTTATAGATTATAGTGGTTGTGATGTTGCTTGACATTTGTTCAGCTTAAAATAGAAATTATTAGATGATCTTTATAATTCTAAAATATTCACCGCTGTTTTAAATAACTGATTATATTAAAAAAATAATATTGTGATTGAACTTTAATAAATAAAATAGTTATAATTGATGTACAATTTAAACATGATACGTAATATATTATACACAAACTCACATGAAAATGATAAAATAAAAATGAATTAATGGATAAGAGTAAAACATAATAGAAAGAAATTTACAAACTAGACATATTTTTTAAATAAATATTTTAAATTTATTTTACAATAATCAATTACAAAAATTTTCACTATATTTGGATGAGATGGTGAGGGGGTGGGGGGTGCGAAAATATTTTTGGAGTCCAAAGATTTTTTCTAGGGGCCAGGTTTATGGACCAAATATTTTTAGGGAAGGGAGGAGGCTGTCCCCTTAAAGACCCAATGTGGCTGCGGCTCTGTTTTTACATGATGTCATTCTTATTATTTTTAGATCAAAAAGTTATATATTAATAAATAAAACCGTAAATAATTATTTTTGTAACCACTACAATCAGCAAATTATTTAAATTTGGAAAGTATAAAATTGATAATATCTTTTATTTTAATAAGATGCCAATATCATTTATTGTTAGTACAAAAAGTTGATAATTAAATAATTTCACCATAAAACAAATTTTAGTAAACACTCCAATCAGCGAAACTCAACCTCCAGGTTTATTTATATTTATTTTAATTATAAAACGTTATTTAAAATTGATTAAATAGTTAAAAAATATTAATCAAAATCGGCCATATGATGTTATTTTTATATGATGTCATTCTCTTTATTTATAGATCAAAGAGTTACATATTAATATATAAAACCGTAAATAATAATTTTAGTAACCGCTACAATCAGCAAAACTCAACCCCTAGGTTTATATGCTTATTTATAAATTTTGAAACTTTTTTACAATTGATTAATATAAATTATAATTATTCAAAGCATATATAATATTATTTTCACATATCAAAAAGTTTAATTTTTATTCTATTTTTAATAATCATATAATAAATAAATATTTTTAAGTAACCACTACAATCAGAGCTCCAATCCCAGGTTAATTTATATTAAAATTTATTAACTTTTGTAAAATTTATTTAGTAATTATAAAACATATTTATTCAAGATCGTCCATATCATTTTATTTTTATATCATGCCAATATTATTTAGTGTTAAATCAAAAATGTTGATAACTAAATAATTCCATAAATTATATAATCACTATATTAAATCACAAACATTAATTTTAGTAACCACTACAATCAGCGACACTCAAGACCCAAAACTTGATTGCAACTCAATAAATTCTGTATCTTTTGGAAATGATCCTATAGCTCTGCTTAGATAGATCCTGTAGCCATTCATAGTCGAACATCTTTATAACAATTGAACTAAGGAGTTAATCTGTCATTGGAGTGTGACACGATAGCTGCATCCCATTCTTGTGAACCTTTGTAGAATAATTTGTCAACACAGTTAAACCTGTTTGATGAAATTCAAAATATGTTCATGGTTAGTATATACAATTAATAGAGGTATAGGAGAGCATAGCCCAAATCCTTCAGATTTTGTGGGAGGAGTATAACTATGTTTTCTGACAACATTATAGATTGAAAATATCCTATAAATTTGGTAAATTTCAGGATGTAGAAATGCCTCTGTGAATCTGAATTGGTAAAAAATTTTGGGAATGCTTAGGAAGTTTTTAATAATATCATAGATCTAATGTGAGGGGCCATATTATAAGGATATTTGCTATAATGTTAGAATAATTTTCTAAAAATGTTTATATACTGGCTTAACCGCATATTGATGACACAAGAACACATATTTCGTCTCTGGTGATAGGAGTAAATAGAACTATGTTTGAAGAAAAATATTCTATTCTTGAAATAAATTTATATTTTTAATAAATTTATTATAAATTTGTTTGAAAACTAAGTATGATAATGTCAAGGGTTTTAATTATTTCGCTTATAGAGTCTGACACTGAAGCATCATCTTTCTACCAAATATTCAGATTTAGGTTACAATGAATTAGAATATTATTAATAATTTTATTTATGGATAAATAGAACAAGGGGGGGGGCTATAGGTTTACCTTGCTGGTGTCCTTGCATTGACAAAATCTTTGTTTTCGGTTATTGATGGTGTTCCATAGCTAGATTGTATGTAATTATTGAATTCTAGATATTTTTTGGAAAAACTCTAGATTATAATTTGCGGTTTAATGAGTTGAAATGATCTGAAAGTCTCCAGATTAATTTTAGCAAAATAGCTTTCGATTTTGCATTCATCTTTCATATTCGGATTTTAATTAGGTGTGAAAATATCAGATAAGGAATCTCTTATTAGTTTTCGAATTATAAAATATTCTTCTGAATAAAATACTTATAGCGATTGTCCCAAAACCCTTATTTAGTTTTTGAAGTGCTATTAGTAGTGCAACAAAGACTAGATCTATTAAATTATGTACCAACCTATTGACAATGTGATTATTAAGTTTAGTTATTACTTTCAATATAATGTAAAAGCTGGCATTATCTAAATTTATTAGATCTAGATATGGGCCTAAATATATTTAAACCTTCAGATAAGTCTATTGAGAATGTTTATTTTTTTTGTAACCTCTTCCTGGGTAAATACTACCTGCAATTCTCTCATCATTGAAAATAAAGTGGTAATTTTTTTATATATATTTCATAAAATAAATATTTTAATATTCTTCGTAAATTTTTGATTTATTTGAATTATTTTTTTAGATGAATCATTGATTTTTTCTTATTATTTACTTTACTTATACATTTATATTAGTATGAATTTTTATTATATAAAAAAAAGGTTTTTAAATAATCATCTTATAATGAAATTTCTCTATTTCTCTATTTCTCCA